GAGGCAACGCGCTGTACGATTTCCTCGAGAGAATCGAAGAACTAGCCGAGTGCTACCGCATCCCACTGGATAACGTCCTCCCACCCTATCTGAAGTGTCCGCCGTCCTCCACCGAGAGATCGTTGCTTTTCCAACACCTGTTTAAGTCTTTACATATTTAATTTCGTTTATATAAAAAAGACAAAAATAATAATTATTATCTATACTACTATGCAAAGAATTTGTAATAACCCAACGGGGCCAGAAGCGCTCCATTAGTTTTATTGGAGCGCTCCATATTCAGCAGTAAGCGCTCCCTTCCTAATTTCACACTTCATTGTATTTTAACATTGTGTGTCATTAGAAAGAAGCGCTCCCTTGCTGCTCCCAAAAAAGCTCTTGGTGAGCGTTTCAACTAAAGCATTTAAAAAGCGATGCATGCATATTTTAATTTTTATATTATTTTTTGTTTTAATAAAAGAATGGCGGTTTTGTAAACATTTGATGGTTTTATTAAGTGTACTTCAAATAAACATGGTTTTTATTCTTTTCTATGTGGTATACAAACGAAAATACATACATATATACATACACACATGTTTGTACATAAACTCATTTTTTTTTTAAAGAAAATATTTTATGTTACTACTCAAAATTATATTTATTTCTGAGCATTGTTAGAAATTTGCAAATTTATTTTATACTTTGCTTTGGTACTGCTCCGTACTTGGTCCTTTGGGGAGCAGCTAACTTTCAGTCCCGTTGGGAATAAATGGTTATCACACATAAATGGCCGAGCCACCGTACTCCGTGTCGTGGACACCGCCTTCCAGTCCCTACTCATGTAGCGTGCGATTATGGAAACGGCGGTGCCTTAGAGTCTTGCTAGGTCGCTCAACTGTCGCCGGGAATCGCTTGCCGAGGTTTTCAGGACTACTGGGAGCAATCCGTCACCGTTGAAAGCATCCGAAGCTGTTGAGAGCGTTCACCACGTTACAGAGAATCACCCGCCGCGCTGCGAGTGCCCCTCGCTGTTGCCCGCTAATCACCCGCTGCTACGGAGAATCATCACCTGTCGCTCACCAGTCGCTTCTCCATTGCCGAGAGTCAATGTCTTTGGACATAAGGTTGCCGGCACTCTAGTCATAGCGCAGTGTGTGTGTGTGTGTGCTCGAATTAAATACACGAGAAAATTGTGTTTTGTTTGATGGGGGTTAGTGGGACCTCCGCCGCACTCTAGTTCGGCTGAGCTCACCTCAGCCTTGGACATAACCGACATCATAACTTAAAATCCAAAATTGATTATTGATTAAAGCGCCTTCAAACGAGTTGTCGTGTTAAGCTGGAACTCCATAGGCAGGCGTATGCGAGATCCGTTTTCACGCGCTTACGTGCGTTAAAACCATGACTCAATAATACAAGGTTAGATAACCTGGCAGTTGTCTCGCTCCCGCATTCTGCCTTAGCCTGTGTTGCCTTCTTTTTTGATTTATAGAAACTACTACTAAAATACAAGGAGAAATATTGTCTTCGTATAAAAAGTTCAACAGGCAACACTGCCGATATTTTCATCGATTGTTTCGTGGAAATTCATTTTCTTATAAAGATCAAAAATAATGGAAATATTTTGAATTACAACAGTAATTTTCATATTTATTTGCAGGGTATCGGAGTTATTCACTAAGTAAGTAAGTTTTGCATGCTAGGATCCCTGTGTGTCCGTCCATGTATGGCTGGTGCAGAAAGTACAAATATTAATAAATATATGATCTTGTGAAGGTCAGGATCATTTGGGTGTCCGTCCACGTTTGCTGGTGCATGTATTTTTACCACTGCAGCTTTTGGGTTGGTCAAGTGCAGCCTTTGCATATTTACAAGTATACCACTCCATAAAAGCGAAAGTGGAAATATTAATAAAGTTATTTTCTTGTGCTGATTTTGACTGATTGCAGAATAAAGTACACAGCATTACAAAAAATTAACATAAAAAAAAAACGAAATGTAATTAAATTGCGATATTGAAGACAAATTTTTAAAGTTTAACCGATATAATGACTAGCAAGACCGATTGGAGAAAAAAGTAAAAAACATTCCATCAAACTTAGATTTTTAAATAACCAAATGTAATTAAATTGCGATATTGAAGATATAACTTTTAAATGTAACCAATATAATGATTAGTAAGACTGATTGGAGAAAAAAGTAGAAAACATTACTAAAAAATTCAAATTAAAAAAAACCAAATGTAATTCAATTTAAGATATTCAATGAAACCATGGCTTATTTTGAATATTTGGGAATACTTCTTCAAAGATTTTAAAGATTTTTCTTTGGCAAGAATTTTATGTGAATATCCATTTATTTAATTTTAATATTTATGTGGCCATAAAAAGTTAATTCATTGTCTATTGTTTAGATTAGTGGAATCTTCTTTATATATTTAATTCAATTTGTATACAACAACGCATTTCAGCACTACCAGACTACTTACTTTTCCTACTACCTTTTCACAAAAGGAGATAAAATTGTTACCCGCTTCTCTTTCCTTCTCAAATGCAACCTTACAAGGCAGTCGATTGACACAAATGTCAATATTTATCCAACCATGTATTATTGAATCATGCGTTAAAACTGAGCAACTCCATAGTGTGCGCTTACAAGCGTTTGAGAGTTTTAATTTCGACAAGTTGATGCAGCATACGTCCACATTTGTATACATATTTATAAATAAAATAGTTACCAAGCCGCAAAACTTCTCTACCAAATATGTATACGTAATTATATATACCCAAAAATACCGCTTTCACAAACCTTTTTCTCAAAAACAATTACAAATACAACGTCGCGTTTCTGCGAGATCTTGTATTTGTGGTTCATGATCAGTGTTGCCGCGACGGCATGAAAAAATGTAGCGTAAAAGACACAAAAAATGGATCAAATATATCACAAATTTTTTATTTCAGTATCAAGTATCAAGTTAGAAAAAACTTTAAAAAAATGCTATTTGGTTTTATACCATTGCTTTTTATTATTGTCAATAGCCGAAAAATCGTGTAATTCGCATTCATACATATACATACATATGTATGACATGAAGAAAAATATTTTACACAATGTGACAATCTAACAAAAAATAGATTATTGGTTTTAATCTTGTATAGAGACGAACAAATATATTTTGTATTGATTTTAAAAAGCTTGAATTCAAACATATGTACATACATACATATTTAAAACTATTAGCTGTCGATCATTTACGTTAATTATCAAATTATGTGATACATTCCACGTTAAACTCGTTGGAAATTATGTCAAAAAGCTGAGACTGCCTTCAGTGTCGACTTTACTTTTATTATGAATACGCCCATCATATTCTCAACAGTTTGTAAAAAAGTTCTATTTCTCTTTTCATATTGGATTTAAATCTGAAAATATACGCTCTGCACCTGCAGAGCTGTTTATGAGGCAAGTAAAATAAATTAAAAATGAATGAGTCAGCTCTTTATACATTGTTCATTTTAATAATTTTTCTGTAAGCTTATTTGACCCCAAAACGTTTCAATATTTTCGATCACAATTTAAAAGCTGCCACCGCATACATACGTACATAAATATTTAATCTTTAACATGTAACAAAATTTGTACTACGCGAAAAATTTAAGTATCTCGCGAAATGAGCGAAAAAATAAAGTATCTTCCGAAAACTTGCACAAACACGTTTTACTTTTGAAGTATTTGGAACTCTACGGCAACACTGTTCATGATAGGAAAATGTTCCATGCTTTAGGCGCCTGTCACACGTTCTGTTTTTGCTGATAGTGTTGGGTCACCCAACGACCCAACGACGGCAAGTTGCCGTTGGTCAAAAACATCTATACACTTATTTAGGGCCGTTTGCACCATGTCTAGTTAATTCTAACTCCCAGTTAAACATCTTTATCGGCGTTATCGACACCCATCATATAACATGTGATCGATAAAGCAGTTAACGTGCTTAACTGAAGGATGTACCTCCAGTTAGCGTTAACTAGACATGGTGCAAACGGCCCTTAGTGGTTTCCCTTAAACTCGTAAAGTCTTAAACCGTGTAAAACTCGTAAATTTACGAGTCTTTTATGGGAACGCCCCCCTTGGGAAAGCTTAGTATCCAGCTCTTAAGAAAATGCACAAGAAAATGTTCGTGTTCTTTCTTCTGCTTGAAATAGTAGTAGGCCAGTAATTTTGACGTTTGATAATGCACCGTGAATAGTAAACAATGGCAGAAGAAGAGCGGTAAAAAGTTAACAAAAGAAACAATCTTTTGCCTATGACCAATTTGTAAGTTTATAACAATATTTTTCCTTAAATTTATTAAAGTACATTTTAATTTATTTTGACTCAATTTCAGGAGATAGNAAAAAAAAAAAAAAAAAAACGGGCGTGTCACCTCCCAATTTTCCAACTTGAAAGAACAAAGACAAAAGAATTCAATTCTTTCTCTTCCGACTACAGGGCTCCACAGGCAAGCCTCCTGAAGNGAATTCAATGACTTTCCCCTCTTTCTCTTCCGACTACAGGGCTCCACTGGCAAGCCTCCTGAAATTAGGGGAAAACCCTTGCCTTCGGTCGACGAACACGCTCAGGGTCAAAACCCTTGCGTTCGGCCCTTGAACATGTTCAGGATCAAAATCCAATAGAAAGAATTCTCCTTTCTCTTGCCGCAGTATTATGTACTGATTTTTTCCCTGTTTTTATGAAAGTTCCTTGATTGAGACTTGTACGAGTCGAGAAAAAAAACAATGGGTCAGTTAATTATTTACTCTTTGTCCTTTCAAGACGGAAAGGTAGGAGGTGCCATGCCCACATAATTTTTTGTACCATCCTCACTATCCGATACATTCCGGAACACAATCCGTTTTACACAATATTTTAACAAATTAAAATTTTTAAATAAAATATTTTATTATATATTCTAGGTTAAACTTAATGATGTTGCTGAACTGTGGAGCCATGATGGCCGGAATTGAAGTAGAAGCTGAAATGCAGAGAAGAACGCGTAAGAAGGCGAGGTATTGGGTGAGACCATACCTCAAGGAAAGGAATGATAAGGGAAGATTCATCACCGATTTCGAAAACTTGCGAAATTCACCGAGGCTCTTCTTTGAAAATTTCCGTATGCCACCAGAAATTTTTGACGAAATTTTTGAGATGGTGGAGCCGCATCTGCTTCCGAAACGCCACTGCAGACCAAAAGATTTTATCTCCAGCAAAGCCAAACTGGCAATAGTACTAGAGTATACTTACATACATTTTGCGCAAAGTCCATTTCTAACTGGTTTTGTTTTTTGATACGCTTTTTTTTCAGATACTTAGCTTCGGGGGATTTGCAGCGTCATCTTCCATCCTGCTATCGTATCAGCAAACAGCATTTTAGCAGGATCGTCACGTGCGTTTGTGAAGCAATATGCACCGTATTAAAAAAGGAGGTGCCAGAGTGGACGGAACAAAGTCTGGTGGATATAGCTGATGGCTTTAGAAAGCAGTGGAATTTTCCGAATTGCGTTGGTGCTATAGACGGCAAACACGTCAGTATCAAAGCACCTCCAAAAAGTGGAAGTATATTTTATAACTACAAAGTAAGATTACATTATGTGCATCGGTTATATTAAAAAGTAATACGAACTTTGATTTTTGTTGTTGTAGGGATTTCATTCCATTGTCTTGATGGCTACCTGCGATGCTGATTACATTTTATGTATTTGGATGTAGGCGCTTATGGAAGTGAAGGCGACTCTAATATTATTAGAAATTCTAAATTTGGTGCGAGTATTCTTAATGACACCTGCCCATTCCCTCCCGATGCATTTATCGATGGCAAAAAAATACCGTACTTTATCGTAGGAGATGACGCCTTTCCATTGTGCAAGCGCATAATAAAGCCTTATAGTACGACGCATCTTTCGACAGAGCAAACAATTTTTAATTACAGGCTGAGTAGCGCAAGGCGGTGCATTGAAAACGCGTTTGGCATCTTAAGTGCGAGATGGCTTTGCCTTCGAAAAGTGTTACTTTGCAGACCTGATCGCGTGCAAGTGATTGTTTCGGCATGTTGCCTGCTGCATAATTTTCTTATAAATAACTGTCAGCGTACATATAATCCTAATGTGTTCTCTGGGTTTGAAGACAGTACCGGAAATTGGGTGCCGGGAGAATGGGAAGCAATACAGCAACAAGAATACACTTTCAATCAAGATGGACTAAACACCTACCGCGGAAGAGTTTCAGATTATGGAAAATATGTACGGAAAATATTGACAGACCATGTTAATTCAGCTAGTCGATCGGTTCCCCGGCAAAACAATGCTACATTTCTTTGAAATTGTAAGACTCTCATTTAGTTTAATTCATTTATTTGAATAAAGTTTTTTTATAATACATATATAAATTTAATACGAAGATTTTTTCTTTAAACCTAGTCAGTACTTTTCTTACTGTTGTTAAACTTTCTTTACAAAAATATAGGTGTGCGAGATTTTTACCAGTTTCGGCTTAATTCTTTTGTTAATTTAATATTTATTAATTTTTTATAAATCATAAAAGTCTAGCTCATTATATGTATAACCAAGGCGCATCTATGCAAAGTGGTGTTATTTGAACAGCTGATTGGATATTTTTGTCTCTACACTAGTACAGGAGAATGTCATCCAAGACGAAATGGTGCAACCTCAGGATGTCAACAAAACGAAATGGTGTAACTTCAGGATGTCAACAAAACGAAAGGGCGAAAATTATCTCCTATTTTCTTTCGTTTTGACATCCTGATGTACCAAAAAGCAATAACAAAATACACGGGACTTTTACTTATATGCAATTGACACCACCTTGTATGGATGCGCCTTGATGTATAACATCATAGAAAATCCACATTTAAAATTTTGTACAAAAATTATTAAGATTGAAATTCTGATGAAAATTTGGTGAATTTTTCTCATTTTTGTACAAAGCTTGAAATGTGGATGTATGTATATGATGTTATACAAATAATGAACTAGACTATTGTAAAAATTAATAAATATTTAATAAACGAAAGAATAAAAGCCAAAACTAATAAAAATATATATCCGTACATGATGTATGCTACTAATTGTTGCTTGAAATTATTCCACTTTCTGTAAAAGTATGCTATTCATTCTTAATTAATTGTTGCTTTGTGTTCTTCCACTTTCTGTAAAAGAATGCTATTAATTGTTAAGCAAATGTCATCGCCAATAGACCGTGGAAGCTGATTTAACAACCAGTCAAAAGTGGATAGTGCTTGTGTGTAAGGTGAGTTGTTGGTTGTGCGCCTGCGGTTTTCCAGCAAGTCTTCTTGTTTTTTTAAAATAGTACTGAAACGGTTCCATACCTCAGGATTCTGGCTTGTGCTAGATGACCTACAACGTTTTGGATGTGCTGGATCCTGAAAGTGTGTATATAACAGTATAATTACACCGGCACAAAAAAAGTGGTGTGTGCTTTTAACCAGACCCACCAACCGATATGTATTTCGGCCCACTGAATCCGAGTCTGAAGTCCGTTTGACTCGTTCACTCCAAATTTCAAGTAAACTGCGATTTTTTTTGTATTTTCGTAATTTACTCGAAATTTAGGAGGTTCGGATTCAGTAGGTTGAAATACATGTCGGTAGGTAGGTCTGCTTAAAAGCACACACCCCGTTTTTTTGTGTGCCGGTGTTATAAACCGCACACCACATTTGTACATCGCACACCGTCTTCAAAAGAGACACAACTCAAAGTTACACGTTCGTCAGAAAATGCGAAAAACTATATCTTAGCACATGCTAATTATATGGGCAAGGAAGACTTTACCTTGTTTTTGCAACAAATTATAACAAAAATTTACCCCAGCTTTTGCTGAAAGGTAAATAAAAGCTCTGCGTACATTTTTAGTGCATAATTTCCAAAATGAAAAATTTTGAGTTGTCACTTTTGAAGAACGTGTGCGACATACATAATATTTGTTAATGATATTTATAATTGGGGTGTATTTATAGTCCAAATAAAGTCGACACTAAAGTGTGTAGCAGCACAATTTTCAATGGAATATTTGCCAAAAAAGCTACAACTTACTTTAGAACCGACTTTATTATGACTATAAATATGTCCCAGTGATACTTAATTTAACATCCACGTAAATTTATATATGAATAACTATATATGCAGTCTGGTTAAACACATTTAAGTATACACGAAAATATATAATGGCCGATTATTCTGAAACACAAACATATGTACTTACACATGTACTCACGTAATCGTACTCTGTACAACTTTCATTAGATTGTGAAACATTTGATTCCTCTGCTGTACATAATGGAGAGGTGTTTGACTCTTCTCCGAAAAGTGCTGGGGATGAGAAAATCCTGCGGAAATAATATACNCCATTTCCTCAGCGAACTCCCAATCAATAGCTTCAGAAAATGAAGGTTCCTCCAGCATTAAGCCACCAGCGCTACCGCTTTTGTGTTTTCGTGCCACCCTTGCGTGGTAGCGATAACTTTCCCGTAGACTTGTCCATCCGGCTTTGCATTCATTGACTAAAATAACAAAAACAATAAAATTACAAATATACAAAAACAAAGGGCTTTAATATTTACATACCATTTTTGCCTAGCGAATTGCTTATATGGACCCAAGCCTGTTCCACAGCATTTTTATTAGAATGTAATGGGTTTGTAATGTCCCATATCCTGGGCCACTCTTTAACCCCTCTTATTAGCTGCCTCTTCTCCTCCTCCGCGAAATTTAAAATTCGCTTTTGCCGCTTTGATGTTGTAGGAGTGTTTTCCATTCCTGAAATGAATACAAATACAAATAGAAATTCAATGTTTTTTACTTACTTTCTCATTCGGCTGTCACTTTCATTTAAGAAATAAATAAAACTCGATATGTTTCTTCGATAAACCTGTGTTGCCATAGTCAAATTTTATAAACAAGCGCAAGAAAAAAAGCGTACTAAATTTCTTAAGAACTGGATACTACTTCAAGAAAATTTGTCGCAAGAAAATTTCTTTGCCATTTCTTGTGTGTAATTTTATATGGAGTTTTTGCTTTTCTTGAGAGCTGGATACTAAGCTGAAAGGTGTAAAGGGGTGCGTCAAGTGACTGTTTGACAGATCAACCAGGATTTTGTTAAGAATTTTTTTTTCGTGGCATTTCCCATAACATCCCGCCATCTTGTCTCTATCACTCTTGGCTAAAATACAATTAAAAATTACGGAAATTAGCAGAAAACCTAAGTAAATACAGTTAGTGGATGAATTTCATTCATTTTATTCGCGTATTATATTTTTCATTTATTTTCATTATTTTATCATACATTTTAGTATAAAAAAAATCGGCTCCTCGGCAACACTGATGTTTATGAGGTCGTTTGCGCATTAAATTTGCCTCGAAAATTTACGAGGGGCTCGTACATAGAGCTACATACAAATTTTGACAGTTCTTTTACGAGGCTCGTAAATTTACGAGCTTTACGAGTTTAAGGGGAGACCCCTATTAACTTTATATTCAATTATGTCCTCGTTTAACTGTCGCATTTTATATTTGTAATATAAGCGCATGCACTCAATTGTACAAACAGACCTATGTACATATGTTTATACTAAAACCTAACTTTGATCCCCTCCCTTATAACTCATTTGTATATACACATGCATATATGCTCACAAATCTACATATGCTAATACAACAGCGAGAAATTTTTACTTTGCTGTATCACTCTTTCATATGTGCATACATTTCATACCATATGTGCCATACCTACAGTCATTACCTAACATAACTTGAACTATTACACTGAATTGCATTTTTGAAAACATTAAATTAACCAGTCTACTGTTGACAACCAAGACGCCGTGTTTAATTTCTCAATATTTTCGCTTCATTGTATTTGGCATCGTTTTAATGGCGCAGCCAAATTTTCGAAGTTAAATTCTTTTCGCTAACTTTTAGCTACCCTACAAATAGTATTTCATTATCACAATATTTAGGGCCGGTAATAAAAATAAGCAATTGCTTTTTCTTAAAATTATAGACCTTTTACTCGATTTATTCAAACAAAAGTGAAGTAGCAGGTATGAAATTTTAAGAAAAAGCAATTGCTCAGTTTCTATTCATACGGCCCAATGTCTGATTAGCACTAATCGGAGGTAGAAGCTCCGGTTAAATACAACGACTGTTTTATGGATCACATGTTATATGCATGATGACGAAAACGTCGATAATGATGTTTACCCGGCAAGTAGTGATAACCAGACATTGAACAACCGGCCCTTATTGAACGTGTAGCATACCACATACCGCATATCACAAAATATCACAATACATATTGAACGTGTAATAGGTGCCTTAGTGGCAAAATTTGAATAACTGCCCTGCCAGCACCGGCTCACCACTTTCCCGTGAAAATCAAACGATTTACAAACACATTCACAACTTTTTAGTCATCTCACCTACACACTTACAAATTTATTTTTCGAACTGTCAAAAAAAATGTCCCTTTGTTAGAGCTACATACCCGATAAGAATTCGTACTCTAATAAGAATTCTATGCGTTAGAGCGAGCAAGTTAGAAACATCGGAGTTTTGATGACAGTATACATACTATGAAGAAATGTCACTTTGCGAAAATTTTGAAGGTAAGGATACGTATTTAACAATTTTATTTAATTATAATGTAATTTCTTCTTTTAGATTGCAAAACAGCAGCGACTTAGTCACATTCTTAAGGTATGTATTGAGACTTTTTATTTGTTTATAAATTTGAATTGATATTTTTGTTTGTTTACGGGTTTGGGATTCACCATCAGCACCTTCAACGCTTGCATCTTCCATCGCCAGGAGCACCATTAAAACCTTCTGCCCTCAGCTTCTTCATCGCCAGGAGTACCACCAGTACCTTCTATGCTCAGCTCCTTCATCGCGAGGAGCACCATGGGTACCTTCCGCCCTCAGCACCTTCAACGCCAGGAGCACCTTCAAAGTGTAGGTCCAACTTGTCAAATTTTGCAAAGTTGTAAGAAAACTTAATTTTTCTGAACCACCATAAATGATTTGCAACTCTTGATATATATCAAAAGAAAGGTAAACCGATTACCTTTCTTTTGATTATAACACCGTTAAAATCGTTTTACGTTTTCATAAAAACTTTGCAACTTTTGTAAACAGCTATATATAAGCAGTGAAAAAGTGGTAAAATTTTGCAAAGTTGTAACGAAACTGAATTTTTGTGCACCATTACAAATGATTTGCCATGTTAATATATATTAAAATAAATGTAAATCGATTACTTTTCTTTTGATTATAATATTGTTAAAATCGCTTTACGTTTTCATAAAAACTTTGCAACGTTTGTAAACAGCTATATATAAGCAGTGAAAAAGTGATAAAATTTTCGAAAGTTGTAACGAAACTGAATTTTTGTGCACCATTACAAATGATTTGCAACTGTTCATATCTATTAAAACAAAGGTAAATCGATTATCTTTCTTTTGATTATAATATTGTTAAAATCGGTTAACTATTTTATAGAAATTTTGCAACTTTTGAAAACATTATATGTAAGAAGTGAAAAAGTGGTCACATTTTGCAACTGTGGTCACATTTTGCAACTGTCAATATATATTAAAAGAAAGGTAAATCGATTACCTTTCTTTTGATTATAATACTGATAAAATCGCTTAACTTTTTATTAAAATGTTGCAACTTTTGAAAACAGCTATATGCAAAGAAGTAGTAGTAATAATAAGCAATTAAGCAACCACATATGTATGTAAAAATATCTTTATTATTAATGTTAATTGTAATTTTTATTCATAATATTGATTACTAACTATTTATATTAGATTAGCAATGTATTTTGGAAAATAAATTTTGCAAAATAAAAATCAAAACAAATTTTAAGATTTTTTATTTAAAGTTTATAAGATTATTTTGAATTCGCTGTGAAGAGAATGCAACCCTGCGCCAGCTGAAGTGGGAAATGCTAGACGAGTGCAGATATATGTTTTCCTTACGAAGTATCTGAATGAGTGCGACAGTGATGCAAGGCTCACACGTACAGGGGGAAAGTGGTGACACCAGTTTTGTCACTAGTTTTGAAGTGACCGAAACCCACGGTTTCACCAGATTTTTC